GTAAAGAAAAACAGTGTATCAGCCAAGCTGTAAAAAAAGTAAAAAAAAAGGGCTAGAACTGCAAGACAGTTGCATCCAGCTTCACATCATGTATCCACCCCTTTTTTCTTTGTAAAAGAATAAACCTGGAAATGGGGTCAGGGCCATGGCTATCTCCATCAGAGATGACTGGACCACCTGATCCTCGTTTTTCTCTGCTTGTGTGTTGTGTGTCTTATTTCTAAATCTGCCACTACTTCCCCTCAGGTGTATGTCTTCCCAAATAGAACTGGACATAGGGCCAGCGTCATAGCCTAGTGATTAAAAGAGCTGAATCCCACATGGCCAACAGTGGCTTGAACCCCAGCCTAGTGGGTTGGAAAACAAGCTGGGCAGGTGTGTGTGCCCCAAATCCTGACACAGTGGAGAAATGGAGAAGAGAAGTGGTTGCTGCGTGACCACTCCCAACTGGGGGATGACCCCCTCCATGAGTGCATGCACCCTCTGGCAATTACAGAACCTTAAGATGTGCAAGTTAAAACAATAAGGTAGCATTTATCATGTATCAGATGGCAAACATGAAGCGAATAATACCTGTCAGTATCACTCAGGTTTCATAGACGTAAGTGGCTACAGCTTTCTGGTGAGTACTTTTGAAGTTATGTGTTTATCAGTAATAATGCTGTTTCTTGGGGCAGCAGGTGGTACGGTGGTTAAGGGCACTGGATTCCCACATGGCTGACTGTGGCTCAAGTCCGGGACCCCGTGGCTTGTTTTCTCACTTTCCCTCTCTCTCTCTCACTCTGTCCCTCTCTGATCAAATTTAAATAAATAAGTAAATCAAATAAAGTTAAATAAAATAATTCTTTTAAAAAATAATAATGCTGTTTCTTTCCATTTGTATCCCTTATGTTACTTTTCCCTCTTAGATCAGCCATTCTCTGAAACTTCTGTAGGCATACTTACTACAATGAATAGTTTGTCTTTTGTTTTTTTCTTTTTTCTTTTTTTTTTTCAGTTTGCTATAGGGCACATTTGCTTGCCAGAGAGAGACAGGAAGAGAGAGAAAGAGATAGGTAGAGTGAGAAATCTGCCCTCCCTAGGGGCTGGAGTGGGATGGCCATATCACAGTCCTTTCTCCTCCATGTCCTCTCAGGATTTTTGGCATACATGTCCCTGCGCCTGGTGTGATTTTTTTTTTTTGGAGAGGTTTTTGGTATAGGATGCATGTGCCCACCAGAAAGACAGAGAGAAAGTGAGAAATCACCCCTCAGGGGGATGGCCACACCACAATCCCTTCTCCTCCATTCTCTTCTCGGGATCTTGGGCACGCACACGCATGCACCCAGTGTGAGTTTAAGCCACCAGGTCCAGGACTCGAACCGCGGTCGACTACATGGGAGTTCAGCGACATAGACATTACACTAGCTGCTGGTCCCCTGGTATGATTTTTTAAGCCACCTGGTCTAGGACTTGAACCATGCAGTTGGCTACGTAGGATCCAGGTGCATACATGCCTTAATCTTCATGTCATCTGTTGGTCCTAGGTTTGCTTTACTTGTGACTATGAAAGCATCTCTGAATTGTGGTTTATTTATTTATTTATTTATTTATTTATTTATTTATTTTTGAGAGGTTTTTGCTATAGGGCGCGTGCATTCACCAGACAGAAAGAGACAGAGAGACAGAAAGTGAGAAATCACCCCCCAGGGGGAGATGGCCACACTGCAATCCCTTCTCCTCCATTCTCCTCTCAGGATCTTGGGCACGCACGCACACGCGCCCGGCATGAGTTTTAAGCCACTGAGTCCGGGATGTGAACCGTGCTTGACTATGTGGGAGTCCAGCAACATAGCCATTACGCTAACTGCTGGTCTCAATTGTGTTTTAGAAAATTATTTTAGGGTTTTTTTTTTTCAAATATAAAGAACATCCCTTCAAGAAAAAAAAAAAGGTACCTTGCCTTCTGGAAAACATTGGGCAAAGATTAATGAAAGCACTCTAGATCAGTGGTTCACTTCTAGGTCACGTCACTGCCTTAAAAGGAGCATTTCAGCTGTCACATTAATGGAGGGCAAGAAATAGTACAGGTTTGACAAATTCCAGGGAAGTAAGAAAACCTGCCATGGAGGAGACATTTATGTAGGTAGAAAATCAACCTGTTTCTTTTTTGTCTGAGTAAAAAACCCACTATTTTATGTATAAACACAATATATTCTTAGCTTGGCTTTAATATGTGCAGAATATTCCAGATTTGCAATTAACATGTAAAGTGACAGAAGAGTGTTTTTTTTTTGCTGTAAACTTTACTACTCTTTGCTCATATTTCAGTATATCATGTTACCAATAGCAAATTCTCTCTGGAGTCCCCAGTATATGCACCTGTATCAGTTTGCATTTGTAGGAGTCACAGGTGGTTCTACATGAAGATACAAACATCTGGTCAGTTCATATGTCTTCTAGTTTAGTTGTGCTTAAACACACATTGAAATTCATATGAATTACTTTCCTTTTTTTTTTTTTTGAGAGGTTTTTGTGATAGGGCGTGTGTGTTCTCCAGAAAGACAGAGAGAGACAGAGAGACAGAAAGTGAGAAATCACCCCCTAGGGGAGATGGTCATGCCACAATCCCTTCTCCATTCTCCTCTCGGGATGTTGGGCACATATGCACATGCGCCCAATGTGAGTTTAAGCCACTAGGTCTGGGACTTGAACCGTGGTCAACTACATGGGAGTCCTGTGATATAGGCATTATGCCAGCTGTTGGTCCCACTTTACTTTTAATTTTAACTTAAATTACAGTAAGTTAAAAAATACATTTACTTTATTTTTTGCCAGAGGGTGCATGCTCTTGCCAGAGACAGAAACAGAAAGGGAGAATCACCCCCACACACATGCTGGTATGATCATGTTGCAATCCTTTCTCCTCCTTTTCTCCAGCCTATAAGATTTGGGGCACACATGCCCATGTACCTGGTGTATTTTCCTGGCTGCCAGGTCCAGGGTTCAAACTGTAGTCAGCACATGGGATCTCCCTTAACCAGTAGACCACAGAGCTGGCTTTTTAAAAAAATTAATTAATTTAGGTTTTTGCCATGGAGAGTGTGTGCTTGCCAGAGAGCCACAAGAGAGGGAAAGTAAGAAATCACCCCTCAAGAGGATTGGTGACACCACCGTCCCTTCACCTCCATTCTCTTGAGATTTTGGGCACGCACGCACATGCACCCTGTGTGACTTTTAAGCTGCCAGATCCAGATCCAAGACTCGAACTGTGGTTGGCCGTGTGAGAGTCCATTCCATGAGTCTGGCCATGTGAGAGTCCAGCGACATAACCACTACACCATCTGTCGTCCTCCCCACCCCCGCCTTTAAAAAAAATTTTTTTTTTATCTTAAGGCACTTGACCTTACCAAAGAGACAGAGACAGTGAGAAGGAAAGTAAGATACCACTCCCCAGAGTGGGTGGCCATGCTGCAATCCCTTTTCCTCCATGGGATCTTTGGCATGAATGCACATGTACCCAGTGTTATTTTCAACTGGGTCTGGGACTCAACTATAGTCGACCATGTGGAAATCCCAAGAGGAGACAGGACTGTAGAATGACCATCTTTCCTAGGAGGTAATTTTTTTTTTTAATTTTTTTTTTTTTAGGTGTTTTTTCTATAGGGTGTGCTTGCCAGAAAGAGAGAGAGAGAGACAGAAAGTGAGAAATCACCCCCCAGGGGGGATGGCCACGCCACAGTCCCTTCTCCTCCATTCTCCTCTTGGGATCTTGGGCACGCATGTACATGCGCCCAGCGTGAGTTTTAAGCCACCGGGTCCGGTATGCAAACCGCGATCGACTACGTGGGAGTCCAGCGACATAGCCATTACGCTAACTGCTGGTCCCCCTAGGAGGTGATTTCTCACTTTCTGTCTCTCTGGCGAGTGCACACATCCCACAGCAAAAACTTAAACAAAAACACCCGTTAGTGGTGGTTAAGGCAATTGAAGTTCAAATCCCAGCGCCTTGATAAACAGCTGTGTGTGTGTGAGAATTGGTCCAAAATCCCAAAGGAGAAATGGAGAAGGGATTGTGGTATCATTTCCCATGGGGAGTTGGGTGCTTGCTTTCTCACTTTCTGTCTGGTGAACATATGTACCATCTAGCAAAAAAACAAAAACAAAAAAACAGAAAGGAACACTGGGTCAGAACTACTGATCTAGCTGGAAACACATGGCACATGTATTACAGAAAAAGGCAGTTAACCCAAGCAAATATATTATGTTCTCAGAGAGCATTAAATTTTCATCAACAAAGGGTCAACAGGTAAGGATCAGTCAGATTATGTCTGAGTGATAGATTCTTTTCAGTTCATGGCCTAGAATGAGACAGTCATCCAGAATTGAATGTCGTCATTTACAGGACTCTCCTCCATTTCCAGTGATCTCCACCAATGGATTTTTTTTTTTAACATAAATGAACCCATTTATTGTAGGCTAATGATATTCCAAATGTCTATGGAGCTTCTACTGGTCTTTCGATTCCTTCAGTCTTCTGATGCTGACTTCACTGTGACAGCCGAAGTGCTGCTGTAGGTCCGGGCACCACCAGCTACCGATTTCATGCAGGAACCACAGTGCCAGATCCCCACAGCCCGTCTCTTCATCTTAGTTTTGCCACAGAAGGAGCAGGTGTACTTGGCATGCTGGCTGATTTCAATTTTCTTCACCATTTTCCGGACGGAGGCACCATAGCCGGGCCGTATTTACCAACGATGCCGACCTTCTTGGTGCGTTTAGCCATACCGCTGCCAACTAGGTCCGAGCCCACATCGTTTTAGGTAGATGTGATGAAGGAGGTGGGCGGAAGCAAAGTGATTGTCGTGGGAACTGACTTTTCCGTGGTGGCATCCCAGGGGGATGGGTTTTGCTGAGCAAAGCTGGGAGCTGCCGGCACCCACCGTAGGGGAAACCCGACACGTTTGCACATTCCGCGTGTGCCTTTCCCTAGGCTATTTAGGCCCCTCTAGGCCGCCGTAGCGGGCCCGCTCAGCTGACAGGAGGTGGTGCCTCCGCACACCATGGCGGGTGAACTTGAGGGCTGCAAACCCCTGAGTGGGCTGCTGAGCGGCCTGGCTCAGGACGCCTTTCACGGGCATCCGGGCATCACGGAGGAGCTGTTGCGCAGCCAGCTGTATCCCGAGGTGCCACCTGAGGAGTTCCGCCCCTTTCTGGCGAAGATGAGAGGGATTCTTAAGGTAGTGCGGTTCCCTGCAGCCTCCGGCGTGGAGCCCAGCCCCTTCCCCGCCTCCCTCAGGCTCCGGTCCCCTTTTCCCTAAACTGAAACAACTTTCCTTCCCTGATCTCTATCTACTCCGTGGGCTTCGCAGTTCGCTTTTTCAGATCTGGGAGCTCGCTCCGTTGCCAAGGCTGACGACTTTTCTTAAGCTCCCAACTGCCCCCTACCCGCTACCTCTTGCGCAGGGCTGACGGGCACCCGCTATAGGTATTTCTCAAGACAGCTCTTCTGTTAATTGTATAGTTAACATTTGCGAGTTTCCTTTTCCGGTCTTTGGGTTCTGGACTTGGCAAAATTAAGAGCGATAGGTTGTCAGTTCTCCAGGATCTTGGAAGTTGGGAATATTGAAATGAGTACGTATCCGCTGGGATAAAGGGTGGGTTAGCGGAGTAAGCACTTGTCAAGCAGTCCGCAGTGTGGTTAGGAGAACGTATAGAAATAAGTATTTTAATTCGTCCGAGGGCTCGTGCGCTCCCTGGAGAGAGACAGAGCCACGCTGCAATCTCTTTTCTGCCACTGTCCTGTGGGATTTGGGGCACAGTGCACACGTGTGTCGCGTGTTTTTCAAGCCACTGGGTCCTGGGTTTGAACTGCCCTGTTGGTCATTTGGGATCCAGCTACCTTAACCACGCCACCTGCTGCCCCCTAAGAAAGCATACTTACCAGCTTGAAATCTTAAGTATAGACCGGGGTGTCCAGTAGAAAAATATGAGCACCAAACAAAATAAGTGAAAAAAATTTAAAAATATGCAGTGCTTCATGAATTTGTGTGTTATCCCTGTACAGGGGCAATGCTAATCCTAATCTCTATCATTTCTATTTTACTGCATATGCTGCCAAAGTGAGCACAGGTGAAATTAATTTTAATATTTTAATATTTTTTTTTTTTTATGGGGGAGAGGTTTTTGCTGTAGGGCACGTGTGCTTACCAGAAAGACAGAGACAGACAGAGAGGCAGAAAGTGAGAAATCACCCCCTGGGGGGATAGTCATGCCATAATCCCTTCTCCTCCATTCTCTGGGGAGCTTGGGCATGTATGCACATGTGCCCGGCGTGAGTTTAAGCCACCAGGTCTGCGACTCGAACCACGGTGGACTACACGGGAGTTCAGTGACATAGCCATTACGTCAACTGCTGGTCCCTAGTATTTTTTATTTAATTCAGCATATCCAAGATATCATTTCACATGTACTTAGCATACAAAAAAATTTTTTTTTCAAGTTTTGGAATTACACTTAAAGCACATCAGTTCCTACCAGCCACATTTCAAGTGCTCAGTAATGTGGCTAATGGCCACTGTATTGGACAACTCTGAACTAGACTGAAAACTAATAGAATGAATCTAGTGCAAAAGTGAACTCTAGAGAAAGACTAAAACTAATTACCGATGGGGCCAGTAGGTAGCATAGTGGTTAAGATGCTGGACTTCTGACTCAGGGGTGCTGGGTGGTCAGAACTAGCACTTGTGTAGGTTCTTGTCCCATGCTCACGAAGAATTAGAAACGTGGACAGATGGACAAGATAGTAAGCAAAGTTTATTAGCAAAAAACTTCTAGCTAATTGGAAGGGGGGCCTGAGTGGGTTATCTACTGAAGGGAAGAGTAGCCCTAACAAAGAAAAAAACACCTATGTGAAAACTTTTTGTCTAAAGAGAAGAGAAAAAAGACTACTGGGAAAAAACTACTTTTAAGAGATTCCGGTGCAGGTATTTCAGGCCACTGGGGAGTTTCAGGCTAATCATTGTCCTTGAGTTGGACAGTGCTATTGTCTATTTCTAGCCTAGTCAGCAAGTAGTCATATGAAAGAAGAGTATATTGTTCAAGGTCCTTCCCTCTCCTGTTCCCCAGACCAGGAGAGTTTACACTCTTGGTTTGGAGTGTAGTAATAATGGGAAAAATGCTAGCTTCAGTTGTCATTGTCTCAAGCAGGCTGAAAGTGGCTTTCTGTGTGAGCAAATAGTGAAAGCTAATAATTGATTTCTAGTGAGAGCAGCAAATGATTTTTATTAAAGGCTTGATTATAGTGACTCCATTTTGTCTCATATCCTTTAGTTCATGGATTCCTAACCCTGTCTACCCAGCCAGAGATCTTAATCCTGTCTCATTCCCAAAAGGCCTACTGCAGATTGAGTCTCAAACTTGGTGCCTTGAAAATTACACACTCTTGAAAATCGTGGTAGTTAAGGTGATTGGATCCCAAGTGACTGACATTACTGTTTGAGTCCTAGTCCTGGCAGCTTGAAAACACACTGGGGGGCCAGTAGATGGCATAGTGGTTACGTTGTTGGACTCCGACATTGTTTGAGTCTCAGACCTGGTGGCTTGGAAATCATGCCAGGTGCGTGTGTGCCCAAGATCCTGGGAGGAGAATGGAAGAGAAGGGATTGTAGAATGACCATCCCCTTTGGGGAGTGATTTCTCACTTTCCCTCTCACTGTGTCTGTCTCCCTCCCTACCCCCATCCCCAAGTACATTTAATGCAAAAACCTCTTAAAACAAAACAAAACACTGGTGTGTGTGTATGCGTACCCAAGATCTCCAAAGGAGAATGGAGGAGAAGGGATTGCAGTGTGTCCATCCCTCACACTCCCTTCTCTCCTCACCCCTCTTCTGTGTCTTGTGCATGTACTCTCTAGCATATTAAAAAGAAATATCATCTTATTCTCCTGCTCTCAATCATTTCCTATTCAAGGCTTCAAATCAAACGTAAAACAAAATCCAGTCCTTTTACCATAACCCACATTTCCTTACCTTTATCTGTTATCTTATTTTCTTATTTGCAGCACAGCAATCTTCCTATCTTAAACTGTTAGGTGCTTTCTGAACTTCTTCAGGGCCTTTGCACCTGATCTTCTGTAGGTTCTTCCTTCAGCTATTTGTATGTATTGTTCATTTGCTTCATTCATTCATTACTTTTTAAAAATTATTTTATTTAACTTTTTTTTAATTTGAGCAGAGGGGGACAGAGTGGGAGAGAGAGAGTGAAAGTGAGAAAGCAAGCCACCAAGCCCAGGACTGAAACCACAGCCATGTGAGAATCCAGTGCTTTAACCACCATGCCACCTGCAGGCCCCCATTTTTTTTTTTTTTTAAGAGAGATTTTTGTGGACCAGCAGTGTAGCATAATGGCTATGTTGCTGAACCCCCCTGTAGCCAACCACGGTTCGAGTCCCGGACCTGGTAGCTTAAACTCACGCTGGGCACATGTGCGTGTGTGCCCAAGATCCCGAGAGGAGAATGGAGGAGAAGGGATCGCGGCGTGGCCATCCCCCCTGGGGGGTGATTTCTCACTTTCTATCTCTCTGTCTCTCTCTGTCTTTCTGGTGAGTGTACACGCCCTATAGCAAAAACCTCTCAAAAAAAAAAAAATGAGAGAGATTCTTGCTGTAAGGTATGTGCATTCACCAGAGAGTCAAAGAGAAACAGAGAAATAGAAAGCAAGAAATTAACCCCCAGGAGGATGGCCACCCCACAATCCCTTCTCCTCCATTCTCCTCTCAGGATTTTGGGCACACATGCCAAGCATGAATTTCAAGCCACCGGGTCCGGGACTTGAACTGTGGTCAGCCACAAGGGAGTCCAGCACCTTAATTTCTATGCCACCTGCAGGTCCTGCTTCATTAATTCATTTTTATTTTTAAAGAATTATTTTATTTACCTTTTTCATTTATTTTAATTTAACCAGAGAGAGACAGAGTGTGAGAAAGAGACAGAAAGTGAGAAAGCAAGCTGCCAGGTCTGGGACTTGAACCATGGTTGACCATGTGGGAGTCCAGCACTCTTAAATACCATGCCACATTCTGGCCCTTCATTCTTTATTGAAATCATTTATTGTGAGTTCTTCCCTCGTTCTTCAGGTTGTTCATCCCTGACCTGTATAGCCTTATTCTTCCTCCCTCTTTTTCACCTCTGCTTTGCTTTTGTTTAAAAAAGGAATTATTGGGACCAGCAGTTGGCATAATGGCTATATTGCTGGAGTCCCATGTAGTTGTCTGCGGTTTGAGTCCCAAACCTGGTGGCTTAAACTCACATCAGGGTGCGTGTGCATGCGTGCCCAAGATCCCGAGATGAGACTGGAGGAGAAGGGATTACGGCATGGCTATCCCCCCAGGGGGTGATTTCTTACTTTCTGTCTCTCTCTGTCTTTATGGTGAGTGCATGCACCCTATAGCAAAAACTTCTTCAAACGAAAAAAAAGGAATTATTTATTTCATTTTATTTATCATTATCATTATTTTTAAATTTTGCTACAGGGCATGTGCACTAGAGAGAGAGAGAGAGAAAGCTGCCAGGTTTGGGTTCTGGACTGCAGTCAGCCGTATGGGAATCCAGTACCTTAACCACTACACCACCTGCTTTTTTTTTTTTGGAGAGGTTTTTGCTATAGGGCACATGTGCTCGCCAGAAAGACAGAGAGAGAGACAGAGAAAGAAAGCAAGAAATCACCCCCCAGGTTGGATGGCCACGCCTCAGTCCCTCTCCTCCATTCTCCTCTCAGGATCTTGGGCACGTGCACATGCACCCAGTGTGAGTTTAAGCCACTGGGTCCGAGACTCAAACCATGGTGTACTACATGGGAGTCCAGCGACATAGCCTTTACACCATCTGCTGATACCCCTGCTACTTTTTCTTCATACTTAGTATACTTAACACTACCTGAAATTATATTATGTACTTATTTTGCTTATTTGTTGACTTCCTTCCTGATATGTAAGTATTACGAGGGCAGGACATTATTATTATTTTTTTCTCATTTATTCCTAATACCTATTTCTGACCTGTGATAGGCAGTTAGTAAACATTTATAGAATAAGCAAATGAATGGATAGTGCTTAAATGTGGAGACTACCATTAAAAAAATAAGTAGTTGGGGCTGGCAGGTGGCATGGTGGTTACGGGTGCTGGACTCCCACATGTCCTACCAGCTCCGGGACCTGGTGGCTTACTTTCTCAGTTTCTTTCTCTCTCTCTGGTCACATTGAAATAAATAAATAAATGGATAAAGTTAAATAAAATAATTCTTTTCTTCTTCTTTTTTTTTTTTTTCTTGAGAGAGGATTTTGCTACAGGGCACATGCACTCACTGGAAAGACAGAGAGATAGTGAGAAATCACCCCCAAGAGGGAATGACCATGCCGCAATCCTTTCTCCTCCATTCTCCTCTCAAGATCTTGGGCATGCTGGAAAATGGGGAGAGCTGGAAAATGTTGTACTGTAGACTAGGGGTCAGCAAACTATGACTCATTGGACAAATCTGTTTTGGTGCCCATTTTCATAAATAAAATCTTATTGTAATATGGCTACATATTTATTTGTAGTTTATCTATTGGAGCTTAGCCACTGTATTAACAGAGTTGAATTTCTATGAAAGAGAGGTAATGGCCTTTAAAGTCTAAAGTTTATTTTATTTTATTTATTTATTTTTTGAGAGGTTTTTGGTATAGGGCACGTGTGCTTTCCAGACAGACAGAGAGAGACAGAGAGACAGAAAGCGAGAAATCACCCCCCAGGGGGGATGGTCACACCACAATCCCCTCTCCTCCACTCTCCTCTCAGGATCCTGGGCACGTGTGCACATGTGCCCAGCGCAAGTTTAAACCACTGGGCCTGGGACTTGAACTGCGGTCAACCACTGGGCCCGGGAGTTTAACTGCGGTCGACCACATGGGAGTCCAGAGACACAGCCATTACACCAACTTCTGGTCCCAAAACCTTTTAAAGTATTTGCCATCTGAACTTGTACAGAAAAAGTTTGTTGGCCCCTGTCCCAAACATCTGTTGTTAAACTTATAGTGTTTAATATTTGGCAGCAATGTGATATGCAAATTATGTTTAGGAGTTGGTTACATG